AGTCACTTATAAGTGTAGTCCACAGCAATTTGTATCCTGGACATTTAACAGATTATTGTTATGTGAAATTGTTCCCTGAATCCGAAAAGACCGTCAACAATTATTAAAGTAGAGCAGTTTTTGAGATATCGTAAATTCCATATTATATGAAAAATTAACTATATCTCAAAAACTGTTACTTTTATAACTTTTGACGACATTTTCGGATTCAGCAGACAATTTTACATAGGAGTTGACTGCTAAATATCCGGGACCCAAATTGCTGTTGATCATAATTATTAGTGTCTGCTTTTTCGCTATGGCAACTAGGTATACAAAGTCATGCACCCTGTAGACTGTTAAACTTTGCTACCGTCAAATCTTCTAAAATCTAAAATACAATCATCAGATATCTTACTCAAGAGTAAAGTACCTTTATATTTGACAATATCAAAAATTTTTATTAAAAAAAGTTGATCAGAACTAAAAACTACGTATAATTTTTTCTACGACCAGTAAAGTTAATTTTTTTTATCTGGACTGCGACAACGTTGCAAATTTAGGGTTTTGGTTGGTAAATACAGTTGTAATAAAATAAATTAAAATTTGTTGTGAACGTAAATGTTGTCCAATGGTGAATAATGTGAAAATAATGTGTGATGTAATATTTATACAACCAAATTCGTTACTTTTTTACTCCAAAAATGTCCACAAGGCGAAGTACTTTTTCTTCCATTGTGGCATTTGGCATAATTTCATCAAAATAAAGTTTTGCCCTCAAAAGGGCTTTTACATTCGAATTCGTTGCTATCATTTTTGGCATAATTATCTTTTTATTCATAATTGACAAATAAATTATCAATAATAAATATTATTGTCAATTTGATAGTGTCAAAGTATTTAATTAAATTCTTTAGCAGAAGTACCATTTTTAAATACTAAAAATACTAAGTCAAACTGGCATAAGCCACCAACCTAACAAAAAAAAGTGCGTGCACGCAAAAATGGCAAACACCATTAAGTAAAGGATTTACCATTATTACTATTATTTTTATTTAAAATACCTCCACTTATTTATTATTATTATTAAAATATTACTCAGTAACATTAAACAATAATTTAAATGATTACTGTAAAAGGTATAACAGTAATATATTTTTTGTATTAATACGTAAAAACAATGTCCCGTAGTGCCACGTGAGTGATATAATCTTTAGCAAATATTATATAATTACATTCCGTTCTTGTAAATATTTATAACAATAACTTTATAAAAAACTTTGTTTGTTGCAAATGACCCTGCCTTTATAAATTGCACTGAGTGCTAAACTTATTTTTAACAGTTAACACTATAAATTAAATTAAAAGGTTAAGACCAATAATGAATAATATTAAAAATAAATAATTAAATTTTATGACGTAAAGTATTACCTAGTTTTGTTTTGATTTATAATTAACTAATGATCTTTAAGGCATACGTTTTTGCAGGCCTTGACATTAGAATTTAAATTTTTGGAATCTTTACATTTCCTTATAATTTGTTTAGATGCAACATTTAATTTTAAAGCATAAAATGTATTATATTATTTAGTTGCTAAATATTCAATTAAATTAGTTGATACAATTGAATAGACATTGGTATTTGTTGTATTTAACACTGAATAAAATTGCAATAAACTTCTTGTTAAATGATTTGCTATAAGTTATAGTGGAATGTATACAGTCACTGGATTCCAGTATGTTCGCACTGGATATTTTGGAGGATAAACGAATGTATGAATGCTTATCCTTTAAAGCATCCAGTGCGAGTACACTGAATGCATAACAATAACTTATAACAATAATATTGTGACACATTTCATTATACCGGCGCATTCGCCAAAATTGTAAAAATCTTAAAAATACCTATTTAGAAAAATTTGCTCTTAAAATTTTGTTAAAAAGTGTCATTGTTTTTTCTATTTGAAACTCGTATAAATACATATTTTATTTCATTACTGCTCACATAATTTATTTAAAGAATCGTACTAGCGCACACTGGTCAGTAGGGTGGAGCGAAATTTTTTTCCTTAGATTGGGGGTGGAATTTGTAGCCTATAAAAAAAGAAAATTTTTGAAAAAAAAATTTTTACTTAACGTCTTGAGGTGGCCCACAGATTTTTTAAATTAAATTTAAGTTAAAATTCTTTTGAGCAGTAATGAAATAAAATATGTATTTATACGAGTTTCAAATAAAAAAATCAATGACACTTTTTAACAAAATTTTAAGAGCAAATTTTTCTAGATAGGTATTTTTAAGATTTTTACAATTTTGGTGCCGTTGAGTAAAAAATTTTTTTTTTTTTTAATTTTTTTTATAGGCTACAAATTCCACCCCCAGGCTAAGGAAAAAAAATGTTTTTTTTCGCTCCACCTTACTGGTCAGAATCTTCGACCAAAACTCGAAAAGTGAATATAATAATGTGAAAATTGTTAAGTTAAGGTTTTTGGGTTCGCTGATCACGACTTTTATATTAAAATTATCAAATTTAAAATGGCGGAACAAAAATGGCGGACTTTTTTAAAAACAATTTAGTTTATCGTCCGAAATTTTTGGGTTTTTAAGAATTTAAAATCAAAATTATCAAATTTAAAATGGCAAACCAAAATGACGGGCTTTTTGTTTTAAATTAGTTTATTGTCTAGAAAATGCTCGGAGAATGTTAATTTTTGGGTTTTTGGGGTTGCTGATCACGAATTTGATATCAAAATTATCAAATACAAAATGGCGAACCAAAAATGGCGAACTTTTTTAAAAACAATTTAGTTTATCGCCCGAAATTTTTGGGTTTTTAGTAATTTAAAATCAAAATTATCAAACCAAAATGCTTTTAAAAAAAAAATTAGTTTATTGCCTAGAAAATGTTCATTACTGGGTTTTTCGGGTTGTTGATTAAGAATATGATAGGCGGACCATGTTTCTTTTAAATTAATAATTATTATTTTAATTTAAATTCTACAAATTTTTAAAAAAACTAAATTGTTTTTATATTTTAAAGAAACGAACTTTTAGTTAAACAGAGTACTACATAAATGCAATTTAGAAATAAAAGTCAAATTCTTTGTTTTTAATATATATTTTAATAAATTCGCTTTTTCCTTTTAAATAAAGTCATTTATTCTTTTTAAACATGGTATTTTTATTTAAATAAAATTATTTTTAAATGTAATAAAAAAATCAAAAAATTATTATTTCTTGAATTAAAACATGTTTTTCTGTGTTCATTAAAAAAAATTTATAAAGTAAAAAAAAATTTATATGTAGTGCAAAGATTATTTTAATTTAAATTCTATAAATTTAAAAGAAAAGTAAATTGTTTTTATATTTTAAAGAAATGAACTTTTATTTAAACAGAGTACATAAATGCAATTTAGAAATAAAAGTCAAATTCTTTGTTTTTAATATATATTTTAATAAATTTGCTTTTTCCTTTTAAATAAAGTCATTTATTCTTTTTAAACATGGTATTTTAATTTAAATAAAATTATTTTTAAATGTAATAAAAAATCAAAAAATTATTATTTCTTGAATTAAAACATGTTTTTTCTGTGTTCATTAAAAAATATATATAAAGTAAATAAATTTTATATGTAGTGCAAAGAATAATAAATTATTTGCAAAAAGAATTGTTTATGTATGTCTTTTAGTTATCCTATAATAAAATCTTAAAAAATATATTTACTAAGTGTCACTGCGACTGGTTTTATTAATTTTCGGGAAATAAACATTTTCGTGTAAAAAAAATCTTTCGAAAGGGACCACAACCCAAATTATTCATCGTGTAATAATCGAAATATTCGAAAATATCAGGTCGTTATGTTAATATAACTTAAAAAAATATTTTTTTAAAATGTATTTTATCAAATTATTTATATACCTTTATAAACATTTTTCATTTTTAAATTTTAAAATTAAACACGGCGTTAATGAAATATTAGGACTTTTGTTGTACAATCAAAATCAACACAAGAACTGTCATCAACCGATTGAAAAAAGGGCGATTTTAAGCTTGCAAGGTACATATGTGTTTTAAATATTTCAAACATCCCTCTACATGAGGAGATTTAAATAATAACATAATAATTAAGTTTATTTTTATGGTTTTGTCCAAGGTCAAGCCCGATTTGGACTAGTGTGAAGCAGTAGGAGCAAAATATAAAAATATAAAATTGACATGTTAAAAAATATTGCCGATTTTTTTTATTTAGCATGCTCACAACTTATTGCATTATATCAGTTTTCAGTACTCTTCAGAACTCTTGTATTTATAAAAAACCAAAATATATTATTTGAGCACTTTGTACCCACTGGGCCTTTTTCTTAAATCAGCCACTGCATGTATACCGTAGTGTCCAAACTGTAACAAACTAATGTGCCTCGGGTAATTGTGTAAAGTATGTTTAAATTATACACTTTCATATATAACTTTATTGCCTATTATATATGGTAATTTTGGAAAATTAATAATTAATATTTTCACTGAGGTGTAAAATTATAACATATTTGCCCAAAAATTGTAATTCATTTTATGCATATGTCATAACATACATTCCAGTAACTAACTAGCAGTAGATTAATAATAAGTAACAAATTAGTTTATTTTAAATTATATTTTTAAAATGTTTGTTTTTTTTCACACGTGTCCGTGCAAGGTAAAATTGCTGGCGATTTTTATTGGGAATGGCATTAAAAAGTGAGCAATTTGTTTCAAACAATTAGGCTAAAAGCAGGACTAGGTCGAACGTAAGCAAAAGGGAAACAAAACATTTCATTCTGCTTTCATTTGACTTTACTTTTGAGTCCTGGTTATTATTCTCGCTCTCTTACTCCATTATATTTTGGCTGCATTATTTTCAGTGTTGTGTATAGTGCTTGTTGTAAAATCTTGCATGGATACTTTTTCTGTAAAAACTGCCTATATTCCGTTGTATATTTTTGTAATTTTTTGTCACACACAACACTGATTATAGAATGCTTTCAGGATATCAATTGGATATAAGGGAAATACAAAGGCAGAATCGAATCACCGAGCAAATTTTGCAAAACTACATAGAAAAAAAACTGTTCCCCCATAGCCATAGGCCGTCGAAAGCGCCAAGCATATGGGACATCCTGCCCAGAGACCGAAGAAAAATAAACACAAACAATATTCAGGATGTCCTGAATAAAACTGAAAAGGAAACTTTGGAGAGCGTAGAGTCCGAACTGATAAACTCTTATTACAAAGACGAACCCGAGGAGAATAACTTTATAGGTTAGATAAATATATTTAAAAGTATACAGTGCCTATTTGAGGAGCATCCGTGCAAAACCGGCTATATCCACTTTAATAAAATGTTGGGAAAATGGCAAAAACTCTCGGTTTCCTGGCCTTTGCAGATAAAAGAAAAAGCAAACTTGAGTTTTGTGGGCTTTGTGGTACTTAATTTATAAGACATACTTTCGTTTTCAAAAACTTTATATTAAGGCCAGAATTTCAAAAAATGTTTTGTACGTAGCCGGTTTTGCTCAGAAACCGAATAAAATGTGAAAAAAACCTTTATTATTCAAAAATATTAACAAAATAAATTTAGTGCAAACATGAAAAAACGGAACAAATTTTAGTAGTAGTATCGACATATCCAAGCGACATGCTCATCATCATTATTATTTATGGGATATAGCCGGGTTTGCAATAAAAAACGTGGATTTGGCCGGTTTTGCTCCTAAAGCTACCTTTTAAATGTGATTTTAACATGGATATAGTCGGATTTAAACAGAATTATCTTGGTTGTCGATAGAAATAGACCCAAAGATTTGAAATAAAAAAAAACAAAAACTGAATAAAATGGATTTAGCCGGTTTTGCACGGATGCTCCTCATTTTAGAAAAATACAGATACAGACTGTATTTTTTTTATATTTTTTTAGTGAAAAAATAACTTTACGTTTATAAACGTCCTATGACCTATAGGTCATTTTTTTTAATGCATTACTACGACTTTTTCATATACAGTGTGACCCATTTGTTTGCGACTCACCCCTGTAAAATCTTTACTTATTGTGCGATTTTAACCGGATTTGTTTTAAAGTGTAGATCTTGATAAAATGTATTTTTCAAGTAAAAAACTCCATATTTTTACAAAATACAAGGCCTACTATGTCAGTTTTTAAGAGTAAATTTTTAAGAATTCATATTAGCGATTTTTTTAAACAAAATCTAAGCACGGCACTGGATTCACCACCCCTCAAAACGACCCTATACAAAATTTTAAGAAAAAAATCTGCACAATAATAACTACAAATTTTTGTAGTTATTATTGTGCATTTTTGTACTTAAAATTTTTCAATAAAATTTATTAAAGGGTCGTTTTAAGGGGTGGTGGATATAGTGCCGTGCTTAGATTTAGTTTAAAAAAATCGCCAATATGAATTCTTAAAAATTTACTCTTAAAAACTGACATAGTAGGCCTTGTATTTTGCACTAATATGGTTCCAAAAATACAGTTTATCAAGATCTACACTTTAAAACAAATCCGGTTAAAATCGCACAATAAATAAAGATTTTAGTAAAATCATTTTACAGGGGCGGGTCGCAAACAAATGGGTCACACTGTATATCTTAACTTTCTTACTTAAAAATTAAAAGGTCTCTAGTATTTAATAGTAATAATAATACGAACAAATTAAAATATTTCATAGAGTAAATACTTTGAACCAAGCTATAAAAACATATTTATATATAAAACCATTTTAATATTTTAATTTATGAATAAAACCCTGGTTTATTTTTTGTAAAATTAATACAAAACATGTTTTAATTGGTTTTGAATTTATAAAACAATGAATTTCAAACACATGTCAATTTCAGGTATTTACAGGAAGTTGTTTTATTTTATAATATTATTACAACAATATAATATTTAATTAGTTTTGGTGTCACATTGCAGACATGCGTGTATACAATTATATGAAAAAAAAAAACATTGTTGAATTATGCCTTCACCTTGTTAATTTTTTATTAGGATAAACTACTAATTTATTTATTTTTTTTATTTCCACAATCCACACAAAAAGGTTCGTTCTATCTCGTTTGCACAGTTGCGGCGACCATTTTTATGTTGTTTACAATTCTTGTGCTTCGGGTTGGTGCTGTTTATACAGATTAATAATCGTTTTAAATGTTTCTTACAGAGGTACTTGTAAGCCTTAAAAGAGGCCTTAAAGTGCTAAGGGCAACAATCTGCCTCTTTTGTAAAAAGTACACCTTATTCTATCAAAGCTGTCATCAAACTGTCAAATGTCAATTTTAAGGTTAGGTAATTTGTGGGCATGGTAAATTTATGGGTTATGGTAATTTAACCTTAAAATTAACATTTGACAGAAGAATAATTGTAAACAACATATAATAAAAATGGCCGCAGTTATAGTCCGTGCAGTGGGTTGCCTAACTCCGTGATTTTTAGGGTATGTTCCGTAAATACACACGAGTTACCGGTCTGGTTACTGAAATAAATTCCTGGTTTTCTCGGTTAGTTCATATTTACGGGACACCTTTATTTGAAAAAACATAACCCAACTTACTTTTTTCGACCTACTCTTTATAATCTCTATAGTTAATTTTGGGTAAAAATCACGACATGATTTTTTTTGCCATCAGTGCACCGACATGTTTGGATATTTATTTTTGCGCCACATTCGTACATTGTGAGAAAATGTATGTTAACAATTGAATTAACAGTTTTTGCGGTTAAATACATTTAATATTTTCTTGGATGTAAATTAACTATTAATTTAAATCCAAAAAAATATTGAATATATTTAACCACAAAAACTGTTGATTCAATATCTCATTTGACTATGCAACCTCCATTAATTTGTTCATTTTGTTGTATCCAAAGGACTTGCAAAGTTTTTAAGATTTTTTATTGAAACTTTTATTTGTGTCAAAAACTACAACTTGCATATATTTTTAATAATATTTCTATAGTTACATAAACAAACCTAAAACACCCTATATACTGAATTCAATTATTTTTGGACAAAAAGTATTTTGTATGCGAAGTCTGCTCCTGTGTTAAATTTATAGGTTAGATAACCAACAAAAAACAGTAATTTTGCTTAGGGCAACACTGTTTCCATTTGGTTTGCAGCACTGGTAACCGATTTAACCGATCATACAGCGTCGGTCGTTTCGGTAACGATTGGTTAACCTATTTTTCAGGAACCGCGTTTCTTAACTACATAATTTTCAGGAATTTTTCATTTACGGGACACCTTAACCGAAACCAAACCAACCAAGTTGACTTACGGAACATACCCTAAGAAACGAGATAAAACAGACCTTTTTGTATGGATTGTGATAATTTCTATCAGGTAAAATACTAAATCATGTGTAAGGTACAAAGAGAAAAGTATATTTAATCTGTGGTCTATGTTTATGTTCATTTGTACTTATGCTTTACTCATTAAGTAGTAGTTTATAAGTATCAGAATTTCGACAAAATCTGCTGAGAGTTACAATCTGAAAAAGAAGAAACTTTTGCCCCAAATAAATCTGCCATTCCCTTAAGAGACACGAGCTTGCGAGCGAGTGTTTAATAAAAACGAATGCCCAAAGAAGTTTATAAAACGAGTTGCATACTATACCATATCTACGACCAACAAACATAAGAATTTAAAGCCAATTTTAATTGTTAAATATTTGACATACAAAGAATTTAACTTTTTTTTGCCAATTTATAATAAATCTAACTTTAGCCCGTGACTAAAATGCCCAAAAGCCACTATTGCTAACTTCAGCCCGTGACTAAAACGCCATAAAGTCACAGCTTGTCACTGTGGAAATGGATAAAATATTTTATTACAACATAATATAATTTTTTTATCCATTTTAAGACATCTACCCTTTGGTCGCTGCAAAACTAGCGTATTAAAATTTGCTTTTAATATTTAAAAAAATTGTATTACAAATTGGAATATTATAACAAAAATAATTAAATATTAAAATTAAATTTAAAAAATTAAGAAAAAATACCACCATTTTTAATTTATACTATAATAAAAAGCCGGGATTTATTAAAATTATTCAATTAAATATTTTCGGTTATTTATTACTAGAAAACAAGTTTTAAAGACGTCTAGACGTCTCAAAAATAAAAAGAAAAAAATTGTTAATAATAAAACAGTGATGACGATGATTTAACGTTTCTGTCAGATGGGTTGTTTATTTTATTTTAATTAACCATTTTTAAATCCATGATAGCCTTGCCTAGTTTTTTTTAATTAAATAAATAAATACCTTTATCTACTCTTATTGCATAATATTGTTTTTTTTCGTGAATAATAATAGGTAAACATTATAAATTGCCTTCCTAACAACGGGAATATTGAATTCACGTTGTTAGGCATCAGTGATTGGCCGATTTCAATATTTACTGGTATTTGAACCAATCGGGTTTTAAATTGTGAGAAGGCGAGTTTAATACCATTTAAAATTGGTAAAAAGTGAGTTTAACCATTTGAAAGATGTCAGATTTTATTTATTTATTTTTAAAAATCATTTAATTATCTACTTATATCTACCAATATATTAGAGTAGATAAAGTATAGTATTACACTCAGGATTAGGCGCATTATCCACTCGGATGGTTTAAACCTCATCCTCGTAAATAATAGCCTGCATTATCTCTCGTTTAATAATATTATATTCTTTCGCCATTTTCGTGACATCCTGTATGACATTAGATTTAAAGAATTTTTATTTAGAGGCAGTAAAAGATAATTTTAGGTCTTCTAACAATATAATTAATGTACTGTTGAAGTTCTACATAATTTTTTTATAGTTAACTAAATTAATATCTGTCCATCCTAGGTGTATAGTATACAATGTATACACCTATACATACATACATACGAGGTGTGTTCAGAAAATATCGGGAATTTTCGTTTTTTGAAACAAATATTTATTTATTCGTCTACATTAATGTTGTCGCCTTTAAAATAGTCCCCATTGGATATTATGCACATGTGCCAGCTCTTCTTCCAATACTCGAAACACTTCTAAAACTCGATTTTTGGGATAGCCTTTAGTTCTTTCAGCGATGCGCTTTTAATGTCATCTATAGCATATATGCTTGCAAAACGACGGCCCTATAAGGTTCTCTTTATTTTTGGGAATAGGAAAAAGTCAGACAGAGGCATGTCTGGCGAATATGGAGGCTGAGGCATCATTACAGTATTGTTTTTGGCCAAAAATTTTGTTCAAAATTTAACA